TGACTCCCTGCAGGAAGGGGCTGGGAGTTACCTGCAGCCGCTGCAGACGGCGCAAGGCAATGGAAAAGCGTTTTCCATTCCCGCCGAGCGCTGCTCCCGCTGCTGTTCCTCGAAGGCGGCGCATCCCGTCCCTCCCATCGGACGCACACGGCTTCACTCACCGTCCCTCATCAGGGCAGGCGGCCCCGAGCACGCGGAGCGCTCCTTCCCTCCCCGAATTCCAGCCCCATTCCCTGTATTTACAGCAGGCTGCCAGCATCGGATGTGAGCTGGGAGCGGCTTCCTCCAGGCGGCCTGCGGGGCTTCAACGTGAGCTCTGCTGAACAGCGGCCAGCCCCGTCTGCAGCACACCAAGTGCCTGGGAAAGCACCACTGTTTAGGGAACTGTACAAGGAAAGTTCCCTCTCTGACATTTTGTGCCTTTGGGGAAAAAAAGTGAAACAAAAATCATCTTTCACCAAGTGTTCTCTAATGTCACCTATACTCAAACCCAGGACGACTGCATCCACTCTGTATTTAGCCCTACAACCGACACATACTGCTGAAGACCAGAACAAAATGTTCACTAGGCAAGCACAAAATCATTCTCTCGCCCATACAGTTTCAACAAGTATCTAATGAAGAGCCCAATGTGAAGATGTCAACCCTACCCACTGCTCCTGCTGCAGCACACCACGACGGCCCTGGCAAGCCAAGGAGCAGCTCAGCGAGAGGAGAGGCAGCCAGTCCCACGGGGTGACGCTGCGGCGGACACGGAGCGCGTTCCAGGTCTTGCTTCCCCTGCACATCCTGCCCGGTCCCGGTACGGGGCAGCGCGCGGCTCGCTCCGGCGCAGACCTTAGGGAAGGCAACTGTGCAGCAGACGTTCCTGGTGGACGCGGCTCTCCGCAGCTGCTCGCTCGGGACGCGTGACACGAGCTGTCCCTTCATGCCTGCTCCCGGCCACCAAGCTAATCGCTCCAGTCACCGCTCAAAACCTGCCCGATTTGCAGCGAGGAGGCGAAACCGGTTCAAGGTGCTGGCTCTGGGCAGCGTCCTCTCTGCCGCCCCTTTACGAGCCAGGATACCACAAAGCCTGTGGACACTCCAAAGCTTCCACTGAAACCCACGGCCACCTGCTGTTCCCATTACAGGATCAAAGGTGCTCGCTCTGTAGCTTAAATGGGGAGTTGACCAAAACCATGGAGAATTTGCCAAACAAAATGTTATTCAAAATTATTCTTAGGGCATTTGGTTTCTGATACTATCAAGGTAAAACAGTAACTGGACAGAACTCTGGACAGAACTAAAACCTACTTTCAATGTCCAAGTTCAGTGCAGGCTGCATGAAAAGTGCATTGAACTGTCAAGCTATTGCCATCACGCTGGGTGACACGGCATCATGCCCAAATCCCAGCACAAAAACCCTTGAGCTCCAGGGCTCGGCCCGGCTCCTGCACAGAGCAGGGCTCTGGACAAGCAGCTCCAAACGCTGCCTGTCCTGCCCTGGGCCCTGCGGAGCCCCGTCCTGCAGCTGAGCCTCCTCCGATGGCATCCACAAAGCCGACAGCTCCGGGGCCCAGGGCGCAGCTCCGCAGCTCCAGTTTCCACTGTTTGTGCAGCGGCAGCAGCGCATCGTTACCCCGGTGGCTTTTTTATGGTTACTTACATTGGAAGCAGGCCCCCGCTTTAATGCATCACATATGAAGTAAATGATCTGCTGTGAAAACGATGACAGAAGCATGAATCTCCCCAGCGCAGCTCGGAGCGAAAGTCAAAGCAAACAGGGCGCCGGGGCCAAGGTGCGCCGAGGACAGCCGTTCTCAGCAGGCTGCTGTTTGCCTTGGCGGAGCCGCCGCTCGCCACAAGGCTACGGCCAGAGTCAAGCCCTTGGCCTCCACTTCACAGCTACGGTTTAAAGTATTAGGAAGGCCTATGATTAAATATTTGTCCGGGTCACCATAACCCAGGTGTAATTACTGTAAACACTTTAAAAGACTAAGCAATGCTGAAAACTGTCTTCAAAGGCTTTTTTTTTTCTTTTCTTTTTACCTCCCTCATTAGCTTCTCCTGCAAGTCAACATGGAAAGAAAAATCCTGCTGAGATCCAGGGTAAGCTGGTGAGACTGCAATGCTGAGGCACAACTTCAAGCCCTCTCTGCAATCCCAGGGCCTTCCTCCCTTTGCCTGGCTCCAAGCCGTACCCGAACGCGCACCGTTTAACAGAGTTCGCATTGTCCTTTGTATGGAAAGCAGCAGTCTGCCCTGGAAGTCTCATAAAGGAGTTTTAGCTGCTGCCAATCTCTCTAAGTCACTCACGACCACAACAATACGTCTGCTGTGCCCTGGAGTTCGATAGGCTGCTCAGGCCGCCGGTTTCCACAGTCCCAGGTCACCGGCACTTTGGGATACGGAGGAGCAGGCAGAACTGCTGCAACCTCAGTGCCAGAGCACTGGAACAGGCTGCCCAGAGAGGTTGTGGAGTCTCCTTCTCTGGAGATCTTCAAACCCGCTTGGACGCAGTCCTGTGCCACGTGCTCTAGGTGACCCTGCGTGTGCAGGGGGTTGGACTAGATGATCTCTAGAGGTCCCTTCCAACCTTGAGCATTCTGTGATTCTATGATTCTATGAACCTCCCCGCGGGAGCCTGCGTGGCCCGGAGGCTGGCAACGTCCTTACAGGAAGCGGCTGCAGCGAGAGGAAGGCAAAGTCATTACACTGGCCCCAAAATTCAAGTGTTTAGAAGAGGTTTAACGTCTGTTGGTCTCCCGGTACAGCAGCAGCTAAATACTTAGAGGGATATGAACAGGTTGAAGGTTTTAAAGAGTATCTTATAGTCAATACAAAATAGCTTCAATCATGGTGCCCTAGCTGGCATTAAAAAAAAAGAAAAAAAAAAAAAGGAAGAAGAGAGATTGTCTCATTTTTATAACCTCATGGGACTCTTCCGGTAAGGAGATGGAGAAATCTGATGGATAAAGAAGTATCTGTCTGGACTATACATAAGAAAGTATAAAAATCAGAAATATCAAATACAAAACTATTATTTCAAAGAAAGACTAAGCTCCTGATGAATATTTCATATTTTTGACTGAAAGCCATCAAGTGAATTTCAAGGGGGGTCTTGGTAACCGCACATTTATGCATTGACTGATACGTTGCATGGCAAATGCAGGACTAAACACTGCTATGGAAATAAGGAATGCCCTGGGCCTGCAGCACAAACCAGTGCTCACAAGCGCGCAGACGTACCTGTCTGGTGAGGCTCCCGCCCAGGTTCATGGTGCCAGAGCCAGTTTTGTTGGTCTGCAGCCACAGCATCACAGTGGAGGTCAGCTTGTAATGAGCAGTGCGGCCGTTGGACTTCTCCTGAAGGTGGAGGGATGAGAAAAATGAGAGGCAGAAGGTGGTACTTCCTTGGAAACCCAGCCTTGCCCACTCTCCTGCCCCACGGCCACCACGGCAGACACGTGCAGCTCCGCTCACGCAGCTCCACTCATACAGCACTTTTTCCTTTTTTTTTTTTAATGAGTAATTGTATGTGTGCACATTCCCCTAAATTTCCAAAAGCAAATCTGGTTATAGCAACTTAACCTCCCGTTACCTTGTTTTTATTACCTAATTAGTGATATTCATCTGCAGACCTTTATTTTTTTTTTTTAAATTATCTTACGATCGCACGCCCAGAAAACAGCATACTTCCAATTCTTCTGGGATTCTTTTTGATTACAGCCCTGACTTATCTTTATCCAAACTGCTCCAGGGAATTCTCAAAAATTAACAGGGGAAAGGAGTTTACGGCCCCAACACAATATTGCATTGTTCGCCGGAACACCTGTGCTCGATAATTGTCTGCAATTAACTGGGTTTTGTTTTCACGAGGGGACATTGGCAGCCCCAGAGGCTGTACCTGAACCTCCACCACGTGGATGGAGTCCCAGCATCCCTTAATCTTCTTTGATCCATCTCCAGCTTTCTTAATGAGGATCACACCGGCGAAGCCATGATCCAGATCCCAGAGGTAGACAGAGGAGACTCCACCTTCGAAATACCTGCAGGAAGCATCCGACGGGCACGTTAGCAGCCAGCAGCACCCACCAGCTCATGTAACCATCAGCATCATTTTAAACAGCCAGAGTCTCTACATGCTAGTAAAGACACATATTTTTTAAGACAGCACTCTCAACAATACCTACAAACACAAGTTGAAAATAATTTTATAGTGATTGATTTTCTTATAGTGATTTTTTTTATAGCGTATTGATTTTTTTTTTAAATGTACATTTCTCTTAAGGAGAATAGAAGCCTAGCAAGAAACAGCTAGTTACAGATTTCCACAGTTCTTGAGCAAACAGTTCCTCTGATTCCAATTAACTCTAACAGCTGGTAAAAGGGCAAGCTACAAAGCAGGCTGAAAGTCAGGCTTTATTTTATAGGGTTTGGGTTTTTTTTTTCACTCCTTTCTCTCCCTATTGGGAAAGTCTGGAAGGTTTTTACAACAAAGCCGGCTAATGAAGACAAAAGGGAGCAAGCAAGCAGTTTCATGCGCTGTCGCAGGAGTTTGTGTGAAGTTGTTTTGTTGATTTATCACAAGGGGGGTTAAAGGGAAACCCCTGCAAGCGCGGCTCGGGACGCGGAATACGAGGAGGCGGCGCAGGGAGCGGCGGCCTCCACGCGCAGCGCTCACATCGGGAGCAGTCCGGAGCAGTCCGACGCTTCCGCACTCGCCCTGGACGCTAGATCCTCCCAGCACACACATAAAGCAGACAGAACACCTGAGAATTTAGCGTCCAGAGGAGAGCAAAAGCCTTTCATCCCCAGAGACAGGCACCTTCTCCGGCTGCTGGGCTGGAAAAGTGTCCCGTGGCCTCGGCAGTCCCGTCCGTCCCTGCTGTCACGGGCCCTGCGAGCGCCCACGACGCTGGTTTAGCCACCGATAACGTTAAAGAAGGGGGGACTCAAACCTAACAAACCAACGTGCACCTTTTTTCACAGGTTCCCAAGAGTTCACACATGGATTTTAGCTGCCCAGTTAACAGGAATTTCAGGCCCTCAGCAGACCTGTGTTCCAATGTGATGCTTCCTTGCACAAAAGAGCAGCATGGATGAAAGGCCAGCGAGCAGAAACTATTATCTATTTCCAGAGGAATTCTGCTTAGAAAAATAGGTATCTAACTCATAAGTGACCCAGCAGCTGCCGCAAAAGCTGCAGTGTGTACAGACAGTTTCCCCATTACCCATTTTATGAGCTTGCTATGAGCATGAAGTATTAATTAAGAGGGGGACTGCAACAAGGGTTTTGGAAATTTATTCTTACCTACTGTACTTTGATCCTAATGACATGAAACAGGAAAAAAAAATCATTTTTATGTGCTTCACCTTTATGAGATTTTACATAAAGGCTTTTGTGGGTATTTTAAGAATGTGCTAAAATGTTGTCTGAAACCACATAAAACCATCTAAGGAACCTCCCGCCAGAACTAACAGCGCACACATGGAAATGCTTTAACTTGCCTTTGTATACTTAATGAATCAAATATAGTATTAATATTGTTTTAAATACTAACATGCTATTTCAATAAAGTTGCTTTGACATCGCCAAATCCAGTATCTTGAGCCTTGAATAACAGTGCCAGCGACGGAACGGCTATGGATCGAAGGCACGATGGGATAAACATAAGCCAAGGTCTGCCGGGTGCCTCACCAACACTTAACCATACCAAAATAATGTAAAATAAATGAAAATCACACATCTTTCATGAGGAGAAAATATACAGCGTTGGGCACTTCACCTTTCTGCACAGAACAACGAAAATGAATTTAAGTGGGAGATTTCTGATGACTACTTAGAAGCAGGAGAGCAATGCTTGAGGCAGGGGACGTTCCCTGCAATTCGTTTTCTCCATGAAAAATAGAGCAGTGCTACAGGTTAATTGGCTGCTACACTACAGAAAGCAGCATGGCAGGGACATGGGTAGGAATTTAAGGCTGAAACGTGCGGGCAGTGCAGGGCAGCAGCCGGGAACACCGCGCGCAGCAAAGCCTTTGGAGAGCCCTACGTCATTCCGGGATCGATCCCGGACTGCCTGTCCGGACACCCCTGTTCCAGACACGTTAGCCTTGCCAATTCCTGTACAACAGCATTTCTAGTGGCCTGTGGCAGAGAATCTCTTCTAAAATTGCCCAAAGTGTTTCCTAAAGCATCCAAGGGCCAACGCAGATGGTGCCCAAGAGATGCCCAAGGGCTCCCTTTGGGACAGGGCAGCACGGGAACAGCTCCGAGCGCTTCGGCTGTTTCCGAGCCATGATCAAAAGCCCAAGCCTGGGAGCCGTTATTCACCAACCACAGCACTCCTGGAAAAAAAAAAATCCTTTTTATTAAAAAAATAGAAAGTCACACCGTGGAGTGTGACCTACTTTTTGAATGTGAGAATAAAAGAAAATATTTAAGCTAAGAGGGATCCAAAGCTTTATGAAGTGTTTGAAGTTCAGGCGGGTGGAGACACAGGATGGAAAGTTGGTTAAGGAACAAACTCCAGGAAACGGGGAGAGCGTGGCCAGAGCAGAGCCCAAACTCCACCGGGGACCTGATGGGGAGGAGATCCCCCAGCTTCCAGCACGCCCTCCACAAGGAGGAGGGATGAACTGCTTTGTTTGCCGTGAAGAAGAGACTGGAAGAGCCCCGGAGCCTCCCCAGGTCCCTCCAGCCTCCCACGAGCCTTGCAATGACCGCTGCCCCATACGCCGGGAAAACGACTTTCCACCACAGCGCAGTAAAAACAAGCCCTGACTCTCAATTACACTTTAGAACCAGATCATTCATCCATAAAAACACTTGGGTATTTTCCAGTAAGCATCCGAGAGCCAAAGACCTGGGTGGGTTTTTGTATCTGGATTCTGACTCTTGCAACACTCAGCCACCAAATCCTGATGCCAAGTCCCAGTACCTGGAAGCCCAGCTTGGCTGTTTGAGTCTTCCAGAGAGCTGCACAATGTTTCACACTGGGTCTCATAAAGCTGCTGAGTTTATTTCCCTTTTTCTTTTTTTTTCCAGAGGTTACATAGATACTTCTTCCGACTGCTGAAGTTTTAGCATGGAAATGGAAGCATCCCCCTCTATCTAGGAGTTTATTTCCCTTTTTCTTTTTTTTTTCCCAGAGGTTACATAGATACTTCTTCCAACTGCTGAAGTTTTAGCATGGAAATGGGAGCATCCCCCTCTATCTATATCAGGCTCAAGGCATTGCTCTTAAAGAAGCAAATCTACCCCAAAGAAAAATTTGCAGCATTCACCTACAAATGTTTTCACTGGAGCGACAGCAAATCACAGGCAGATATGCTGGTGTCTAATGGCCATCCAAACCCACAGAAAGCATCACCTAAAAGATCACACGACTCAGCAGACACGTCAGCAGCCACTAAAACACACGACTCTGCGCACGGCAAGTGCCTTAGAACAGTTTCGAACCAACACATCAACCGTGACAGAAATGGGAAGAAAGGGGCTGTCCAGAGACCCACCTTCCACCAACCCCCAAATCCTGCTAAGGGTTTTACTCAACTCCCCCCCAAACTAATAGCAAGGGAAAAAGCCTCCTCAGGATATCATCAAGGGACCGGAGGTGCCTCTAGCCCCAGGGCAGCTCTGCCTGCAGCCCAGCACCTTGCCATGAGCTTTGGGCTGTGCTAAGAGGCCAGGCTGGCAGCACGGAGCAACATTTGTACTCGCCCGAGCGCAGATGATTTAAAATTCCTCCTCCCCTGGAGGGCAGCCTGTAACACGCCTCAGAACCGCGTATTCAAACGAGGGCGAAACGCCTGCGTCCCCGGCGCAGCTGCGTGCAGTTTACGAGCACAGCCCCGAGGACGCCGGCCGGCTCCGCGCAGGTATTTTACGGAAATTCTTTCCGGCCGACACAGGTGCACGAGTCCCCCGAGCAAACATACCAATCTCCTTAGGTCTGTGCAAGGTCCGTGCCAGGGGTGCTCGGCAGCACATCTGGAGCGCCGCGGGATGGCCCGAGCTCAGGAGCTCCGCGCGGGGCAGCAACGGGCTGTCGGCAGGGACATCCTGAAGGCAAAAAGCTTCTGCAGCCTTTTAATACCTTTCATGATTAAAAACTAACCCCAGAACGTATTGCTCGTGTTCTCCTTGCCATCCAGGCACTCTTGGCTGGTGGAACCTAATGATCAAATCCCTCTGCAGAAGTCATGCTTAGGAGGGGAAAAGATGGCACGTATTACGTCCTACAGAGTAAATATATACATATAAATTTAAAATGCATATATCTGTGAGATACGATGATGTAAATTCCGGAAAACACAAGTAGGTGTTTTTAGAGCTAATCAAACCACAAACTCCAAACCATTATGAACTTAACAATTTTGCCCCATTTTTCATGGGAACAGCCCCTTCTGAAGGGCCGAGAACCTTCCCCGGAGCTGCAGGACGCCGCCGCAGCACCAGCGCCCATCTCCCCGCAGAAGCTCCCTGTCCCCTGCCTTCAGGTCTCATGTAATTCCATAGGAACCCCGGATAAAACCTCCTCCTCTGCTGAAAATTGGTGACTGGGAGCGTAAGAATGCGGTCGTACAGCGACACTCCACAATGAAGCACCGAAAAAGAGAAAAGAATGAAATAAAAAATGAGACGGAAAGCTAAGTTAGCGTGCACAATACGCTCCATTTTTCCCTCTTTCCTAATAAGTTTGCTCCGGTCTGTGCATTGCATTCCAGCAGCTTCTCTCACAACCCCTTCCTGAGCTTCAAGTTGGCTATGGGCAAGTTTAGGAAGGGCCCCCCATCCCGCTCTTAAGCCCAAGCAGTTTCCTTGGGAAAACACCACTGTTCCGACCCTCAGGCACGCCGGCGTCTCCGGCCGTCTTCCAAGGCCTCCTCCTCCTCCTCCCGGCCGCTCCTCCATGAGCTAATCCCGCTGTCCCACCCTGTTGCGCGCAGCCGTCGCCAGCCCGCCGTGGAAAGTCGGGTTTCCTTAGCGCTGGGACGCACAACAAACGCAGCTGGCTTCAATCTGCAGGGCCCTCGCTGCGCAAACCGCAGCGGCCAGCGTGCCCGGAGAAAGCAGCACGAAGGGCCGGGAACCGGTAACGAGGAGCACCGAGCTAATGGCAACGAGGGCATCCAAAGCCTCGCGTCGCGTTCTCCGTTTCGGAAACGCGGTTGGCGCGCTCTGCGTTGCAGCGCGGACGCCGCGGCGCTGCTCCCGCTGCTGCTCCCGCGGCCTGCGTGGTGCCAACCGCACCATCCGCGTTCCCTCCACGGAGCGAATCCAAGGGGGCCAAACCCAGCAGCTGCCCTGCCAGGAAGGCCAAGCGTTTGCCCAGGTCAAGGGACACACGATGCCAGAGACGCACGCAGGCAGGGAGGTGGCGGGTTGCAAATACAGCCTCTCCCTGTAAAAGACAATTTCCAAGGACAGCACAGGGAGATGTGCAGGTTTTGCACATCAAGATGAGTGGATGAAGGCTGGAAACCAAGGTGGTTCATGTACACGGTGCAAAACAGAGAAAAAAGGTGAAAACAGCTAGAAAGGGGAAAAGCAGCTCACAGGGCTGCTTGGTGGCAGGGACAACGGTGCCCACTTTGGTGGCCAAGAGCCAGAGTTGAGGCAAGAGGAGCCTGTTCAGCACTGGGCTGTCTCGGGGACGTCGCAGCACAGACAGCCAGCAACCCCTCTGCGCTAGGAGGCTCCCGGAGCTCCCGATTCCCGCAGGAACATCGATTCCCAGGGGAACATCGTGCCGGAGACGGCAGCAGCCCTTCCCCTGGGGCGGCTGCAGGGAGGGCCACGGCGCGCCGGGCACGGGCATTGCTGAGGTGGCCACTGACACGAGTCCCCAGCTCCGCTTTGGCCACAATCCCAACCCCAAACTCAATAACAGCAGGATTACACGCAGTGAAGACATATTCCAAGAGGTCAATCCTCCTCCATACCTCCTTCTCTTCCTAGGAATTTCCTTGTCCAGAGCCTTAATACAACAATTTTGAAAACGGATCAACTCGAAAACAAAGCTAGAAGGGGAAGTTCAGGGCTCTCTGGCTTACTCTGCGGAAGGAATTCAAAACCTTAATCAACAAATATATTTTCAGAAGCAGGATGATTCAGATGAGAATTTTGTCTTTTTTTTTAAGTTATTAAAAATCAAAAGCACAATAAATCCAACTTAACCCAGGAAACGGAGGTAAGAAATAGCCCTCTAAATTTATGCCAGCTTACTAAACTAGTCAAAAGCTGCCACAGCTCATCTTGTTTGTAGAAATATTCACATCCGCATCATCCTTCCCCGGGGAGGTCTATTTAATCACTTCAGAAACAACTTCTTCCAGACAATAAAGGCCGATTAGATTACTTCATTAAAGGCCTGATTATCTCGTACCCCAAACGACAGAGCACTGAGTCTAAAATAGATAGATTTAGCCAGGCTCCCTGGTCCTCATTACGCTTTGGTTTCAATCAATTGCACACACCCGTCAAGCACAGGGCGATAAATTACAACCATGTGTTTGAAGAAATTATCTTCACGATATTGGAAGTGCAGAGCCAGGGCTCCAACAGAACGGTGTAAGATGTTAGCCATCCATCTGGGAATAATAATCTCCTGAACAAAAACATACCAGGGCATTAGCTGCAGGCAATGTCTGAGTTAAACCTGGCAGCAGGAGATCAAAATTAAACGGCCGGTTTTGGGGGAGAAAACTACATGCATTTTCGTAAAGTGGATAACTAGGAAATATGCTGGTTTAACATACTTATTAGAGAGCAAATTTAAACTTGGCATACTTCCTTTTTGACCCGAGTAGAAACCAGAGTGTGCCCAGAAATAAGAGGTGGGCAACCTCTTATATATAGGCATACTTGGGAACAGCTTGCATTAAAACAGGTACTTGCAAGAAGGAGCTCTGATGGGCAGATCCTGCGCCCAGCAAAGGTTTTCCTTGTAAATATTTACGATTTGCAGCAATGCCACGTGATCCTACAAAACTGCTCCAAGCTGGCTTTCCCACTGCACTGGCTCCATACGCTGGTCTGCAAGTTTGGGGGGGACAAAACCCCCAGGCTGGTGACCAGGGAGCACATCTCCGTGCGGGATTCCCTATCGCTGTACACGGATATTCCGCAGGCCGCTTCCCTCAGACACCCCCGCGCGCAGCCGGCAGCCCCGGGACAGGGCAGAGCGGCGCTGCCGGCTCACGCACGTGGGCGGACGCTCCTGCAGCTCATCCCAAGAGCAGTCCGAACGGGAACGGTACGTGGGCCAAACGGGGCTGGCACGAGGGAAAACTGAAAGCGTCTGAAGCTTTGAAAAAAGCCCAAGATGAACTCGGGGAGATATTATCATTTCGTGTGCTCAGAAAGTGAGTTAATGCAGTTTTTCTTTGCTTACTTGCCCACAAACTGCTCCAAAAAACTGAGAAGAAATCCTCATTACAGGAAAACAAGTGTCCAGCAGCCTTGGATACTCAAGCACACTAGGGCCTCATGTTCTCCATGAATTACTGCTGTCATCGGATTATTTTGATATAATCTGCTGCCTCCCTAGCACAGGCCGTAACAGCGCGGTTCAAGGCCACTTCAGGAATATCCACCTGAGAGAGAAGGAAGAGAAGGAGAGAACTCCGGCCTTGGATGTGGCAGCCTGGATTCTCACTGTAAAACAAGTCCCATCGAGGCTTCTCTACCAAGTAGCATCTTCGCCCGCGACGCCACCTGAAAGTCTAATAGTGCCACAGCTGCTCTACTGGCAGTCACATCTTTTAAGAGGGAACTTGTACAGATTAGACATGCAGCCTGCAGACAAAGTGCACATCATTACCAGCTAACATCGCTACTAGAAGGTGGATCTGTTAGGAGTCTTCCCAAACGAATCCTAAAAATCCTAATATCAGCAGAAGATGCAGTATTGAAGACTGCCAGCATACTATTTTTTCTTGATTAATACATCAAGATTTTTGAACAAGTCTGAAGTATTTTACAGTGCTACGAAGTCTGTTACCTGCTCTGTAATTTGAACCTACATTTATATTTTCTACTGGAACCGATGCACTAGTCGGTCCATCCCAATTGCTGCAAGCTGGCATCTTTAACAGACATCACATACTTCTGCCAGACCTACTTCTGCCTTTGCACGGGTGCAGATTATTAGTTTCCAGCTCTAGCAGAGCATGGAACCTGCAGCCCTGCAATTCCCATCGTGTTCCTGCTACAGCCGTCCCCGCACTCGGACTTCTCCGAAGCGTCGCCTCTAGCAGGCTGGGCACGCTGGAAGATCCAGTCTGATACAAGCCACACTCACTCTCTCCTTTTCCTTCTGCACGTTACATCAAGCTACTACCAAACCACTTACTGGGCTCAGCAGACTCACCCAAGTCTGAGAGTAACCTGGACTGCACTTGGCTTCCTGCACATCAACTTATTTACAAGAGTTATTGCATCTGACCGTGATTTCACGGACATCTGATCAGAGAGGGATTCAAAAAGGCAGCTGCAGTTCCATAAACCTGTTCCTGTGCATTCTCACAGATAAAAACTTGTGGTTCTGGCATGTTTTTCTGCACCAGGGGACTAGCTGCAAACCTCTGCTTGCTGCAAATGCCCAAGTCCATCCTCTCGATGCGCTGAGATACATATTAACAACTGTTACGTATAACAAAAGCATCTCTAAAATTAATACATGCAAATAAAGTAAAATTTGATGCTTCTACCTAAAGTGTCGCTGTTAAATATTTAGACAGAAAACGTTTACATTGAGGAGAAGAGCTGGTATAAAGCTTTTCTACCTGCAGTTATTAATGCTAAAATACTATAAATTCCAACAGTAACACAAACAACATCGCCTAAGGATGTATTTTACCTCCAATTTGGGGCAACATGAAGCAGCAATGAAGTCACTTCACCTTTTTTAAGGTCGTTAGGGGTCTCCAATTAGAGAGCATCACTTTGCAACAGACTTGTGCTTGTCAGATTAAACAATGGTGTTTTTTCCCATCCAAATGCTGCTTTGGAGACTGCATCTATTTGGGTGAAAGCTAAAGCTGATGTCGGGAGGCCCTAGACATGGATGCAGTGCAAGACCCAGCACAATCCCACCTTTTAGATGATTCTTTTAGTTGGGAAGTCCCCTGGCCAGTATGCAATTGCACTGGAAATGGACCCTGCCTAACATCTTTCTTATATACGCTCTGTTAATTCCTTTGCTTTATATCTAACAAGACAGGGCCTAAATCATAAGCCCCAGAGAAGGGCCTTTGCAACAGAAGTGCATTACTGCCCACATCGGCTGCCTTTGCACATACTGGCACGTATCATTTTACAGGAAGGTGGAACCTGCTGCTACTTTCTTTTCTGTTTTTTTTTTTTTGTCTTTTGAGAGAGGCTACAATCTTGAGGGAATGGGGAAGGCAGACGGTTTAAAAATGAACTTAGCCAAGATCAAAGAGAACACAGGTCATTTCAGGACAAAGATACCATTAATCTGCTCAAAGTGGGGAAGGGAGGCAGGAAAGCACTTCAGCGTCTGCCTTGGCAATCAGCTGACAAATGGGATCATAATCTCCTAATTTCTTTCAGCTCCACTTCGGTGCAGGTTCACCAAGAGCAGAGCAGCTGCTGCCTACCCTTCTTCCTCAGCTACGCACTGGCCTGCCGCTCTCGAAGGCGGCTAGAGACCACGTTTGAGACTCGTGTGTGTGAGACTCGGGCGTGTGGCGGGAGGCAACGAGGGAAAGCAGAGGGCTGTGGGTGGGAGAAGGGACGTACAAGTCTCTGTACTGGTCAAAGGCATTGTTGGCTTCCACCTCCAGCTTGCGCAGGCGGGCGGATGGCATGGCACCGTCTTCCAGGGGAGGGTCGTACTTGTTACTCCACGGCGACCTGCCAAAGACACAAGGGACACAGAGACGTTGAGGTGACGACGGCCAGCGCTGGCAGGGCTGGGAACGGTGGGTCCCACCCGATCCGCGGACGGGAAACTTCCAAAACCAAGGTCAACCTACATCAATCTCACCATGAACAGTCACCTCAAACACGGACAAAAGGGAAGATTACCTGCTTAACTTCACGGTGCTTGGGGGTTGTCCCCTGACTTCAGGTTCCTATTGCACAAACAATCAATCATGCTAGGGTTTGAATTTCTGCTGTTATTTCTTAAATATTCCAAGATGAGGCTTTAGCTGATACATATCAAGCATTTAAATAATTTTCATACAAATACAGATAGATCAGATTTGAGCTAGACGTTATCCTCTACTATTCAGGTCCAAGTTCTTCTCTACTATTTTAAAATAAATCTGCTTTTAGCACGTTAGGAAAGCATCTGAACAGTTAATCGTAGAGTTTAAATTTCTACTATAAATTTCCACAGGTGTGAAAGAGATTTGGGGCTCTTAATGAAAGATATGGTATTAAAGGCCTAACAGAACCCTCTGTCCAGCTGCTGGAGCCCTGTCCAATTCCCATTCTATAGAGCTGTCTTCCCCTTTTCACCTCCCCCAGGGATAAGCCACCAATATCTATCACTGCTGGCGTAAAGTAACAGCAGCACCAGGCTTTGCTGCTCCCTTCACAGCGCTCCGGCCCGCGGGCGCCAGGCCCTAACGCAGCCCACACGTCAGGGCTCTTTTCCGAGGCCTTTTGTTACTCACTGCCCAGAGAGGCACCTAGTTCTGAGATGTGCTTAATGCCACGAACAGGCTCCGCTTCGCCCGGCCTTGGGCTCCCCTCGCCACCTCTGACTCCGAAGGGGCGATCCCGGGGCGGGTTATTCGTTATGTTGCACCCACCTAGGGCACTATTTCTCAGGCAGTAGTTCCTCTTTTAAAACATTTGCTAAAATCTTGGTTTCAAGCAACTCCTCACCTACCATTTCTCCTCAAGCTGGAAGACACCCACAAAACAACCAGCAGCACCTGCAGAAGCGCCAGAGCAAGCCCTGCACAAAGCAGAGCCAAACGCAGAGCACTAACTCACAAACACATCGCTGACCTTTCCATTGGCAAGGCTGGAAAAATCCAGGCAGGATTTGCACACAGGGCAACGCAGAAGCACACTACTTAGCAGCATTCATACGATGAACGTTTTTTTCTTCCTCTTCTACAAAAAAACCCTAAGATCTGCTGCTTTCTGCACACTCAAAAGTCTTTGTGCTTCTCCAGCAGGCGCAAGGAAATTGGTGAGAAAGGAATCCGTGTAAAAAGAGAAGGTGCAGATGGGTTTCGCTGCTAACATTAGATCACTATGAGAAGGACATGGAGGTGCTGGAGTGTGTCCAGGGAAGGGCAGTGGCGCTGGGGAAGGGCTGGAGCACAGAGCTCACGAGGAGCAGCCGAGGGAGCCGGGGTTATTAGTGTGGAGAGGAGGAGGCTCTGGGGAGACCGGATCGCTCCCTACAACCACCTGGAAGGAGGCTGCAGTGAGGCGGGCTCGGTCTCTTCTCCACAGTAACTAGCGACAGGACAAGAGGAATCGGCCCCACGTTGCACCAGGGGAGGATCAGGTTGGACATCAGGAAGAATTTCTACACGGAAAGAGCGGTCAAGCACTGGAAGGGGCTGCCCGGAGAGGCCTCTGGCAGGGTTTGAGCTCGTGCATACGAGGCACTCGGGGACGCGGTTTCGCAGGACGGTGTTGAGGGGCTCACACTTGGACTCCATGATCTCAAAGGTCTTTTCCAGTGCAATGAGTTTATGATTCCAAGATTCTTTTGCAGGCTCAGGTAGAGCACTTAGGAGAAGCCAAGTAAGGTACATTTTTCTAGCATGCAGATTGTGGCATTTTCAACCTATTACAGCTGGTGCCAGCAGCAACTTTACGTTGAAAGAAATTCCTAAGATTGCCCCTTTTTTTTTGTTCTTTTTTGTAGAAGAGGATTTAGAACACGTTTAAAAGCTTAAAGGGTGGCTATTTGAAGAAAGACAGATGGACAAGAGTGCTTAAATTTCAAAAGTCAGGCCTCTAATTTCCCTAAAAGAGAATGTTTTTTGTTTCAGCTAACGGGTTTCAAACTGTGTTGCTGGCACCAAGTTCCCCATAAGGATTCCATTTAACAGAGTGATCAAACACACTTCGAATAGAAGAAGCCAAAGACCCTGAAGTCTCCTACCAACATTTTGGAAAGCCCTGTGTAGTCCAGTGCCGTTGGAGACGGCCCACAAACCTGTGTTCCTGCAGGAACGACGTGTTTGAAAGAGGTACAGAAGGCTGCCCCCAAAGCAGTAGCCCGACAGCATGAAGAACTGGAAACTATCAGCCCATGAGGGCCCAAGAGAGACCCCAAAATGCACCTTTTGGACTGATCCATGTTCCAACTTGGGACCAGGACAGCTAAACACCCTAGTGTCTTTTTTTCCAAGCTACCTCTCAAGCTGTAAAGCCTCTCTTAGTGAGGTGCGAACTACAGAACACGGTTCCCAGCAAGGAGCTCGCTCTGCCTTGCTCGTAGAAGCAGCAGGAGCCTCAGCCGTCTCCAAGGTGCTTTGAAAACCTTGGATAAGAGAGCACAAATTCATACTAAAATGCAGAACAAATGCAATTAACAACCTCTCTGATAAGAACGACCCTGAGGTCTTGTTTGAAGCCAAAGTTATCTGGGACATAGAATTTGCCAGGCAGCGAATACTATTTCCTGCGTGTTTTTGCATCTAGCACGTGGCTCTGAAAAACTTATTGGAAATATCAAAGGCTCTTAAAGGCACTTTCAACTCCTCTTATGTTGTGGCCTAATTGATTAAATAACAGCCACTTCCCCACAACAACTTCAAATTTTATGAGGTAGAAATAAGAATGTTGGAAATCAGGCACAGAAGGGGATTAACACGTGCACGTTAGGCTGTTTCTTTCTCTTTTTCTGGTTTTCAAAAACATTTGCTCTGTGTTGAATGAAAGAAAGAATTCACTTCCCAAAACAGAACCAGGGCCAGTCGATCTCAGAAGGAAGCATCACTTCGATCCAGAACACCTGGAACAAGTCCTGAAGAAGATGCTCTTTAATGTCAAGACATTCTGGCTATCCGAGATGAACGAACAAAACGCCTTTTAATATGGCCAGAAATTTTCTAAGCTCTTTTTCTTTTTGAAACCTAAGTCCTGTTTTCTTATAAATTTCACCATCTTTTCAGCAAGAAAGATTGAGCAAATTTCAGAGGCAGGCTTGAAAACTAACCTTAAACAAGCTTGAAAACTAACCTTTGAGAAAGAGCTGCCAAACACACTAATGAAACAGCGGGAGGGGAGTGAGCGCTACCAGCCGTTGCGGGTTGCCCCGGGATCGTTTGCCAAGCGCCTCTTCATGTTTCTGCCCCGGGAGAGACCCCAGCAAACCTGAGAGATACATCTGCTGTCAGTAGCCTGAAGAGGAGTCAGGGAGCGCACGGGGAGCCGCGTCGTGACCTCCGTGAGGAGCGTCGCTCCAAGGACCCCCACACACCAGCACCTGCCCGAAGGCTGCGGCCGGGCGCACGGCGCCCGGTGGGAACGGAAACTCGGGGAGGGGAAACTTAGGAGGAGAAACTCTTCCTTTTTTAAGTCAGCTACGAAATGAGACCTGCTAAAACGCACGCAGATACTATCGTAGACCTGCCTAGCTCTGACATAAAAGCTTAATGTGCAAATGCTTTTAAAAGGCATCAGGCCTCTTTTTAGAGGGTTCAACCAAGGTCCTGTGTTGGGACAGTGTCCTCAAGAACAGCAGGGAATACTTCACCTTAGAGGTCTTCTCACCCTGGTCCGCTGCAATAGAGGATGTGCAAAAACCCTCACCAGGGTTTACACAGCGAGGCACAGGCAGACTGCACCCAACGTCAGCACGTAGCCACGCTGTGAATAGAAAACCCATCCAGTCCCTCCTCTGAACGGGAACTCACCTGTAGGAGTCTCCATCTCTGTTGTAGTCACACAATAGATAGTCTTTTCCCACCACCTTATCCCGAGCAATCTTCAGGGGCTGATCCACGGAGGAGAGGAGATCTTCACAGAGGCTCGGGACCTGTTGGCCATGAGGGAAGGGAAAAAAAAAGGAGGGGAAAGAGGAGGGGAAAATTTAAAATACATTAAAATTAAATGGGAGCTAAGAACAGACTTTGTTATGAACAGCCCACCTCTATCCCCACACCAGAAACCCTGAGTAAAAAAAGCTACACTTAAGTTACAATACCATCCTATGCCCCCGCCTCTAATAATTTCACATTTAATTACCTAACCACTAGTGTGGTCTGGCAATTTTAAATACGTACACTTGCACTGTTAGCTTCTTGCCAAAGACAGCCAGTAAAGTGATTGTTGAGAACTGATGGACAAAAGTAAATATTTATAATGGAGTGGAAACTGGGGAACTGCTAAAAGAATACGCCATCCATACGCTAGAATTTATTTTTCACAAGCTCCCACTCTGGGTAGAGGCTAGAATAGTTTCCAGGCAGCTGGCCAAACATTACCATGCCGCCTAATAAAAATATGTGTGTGCGTGTGAGCATGCGTCCCTGTGAAATGAGCCGTCTCCTGCACAGGTAGCTTTGAGCGGGTTCCTAATCCCGGTGTTCCTGCGCTCCGTGCGGACACGGGCTCCGAGCGTGAGCCCGGCCGGCAGCAGGATGCGCTGCAGAGAGCGGCCGCGTGCTGCAGGGCGAGGGGGCAGCAGGCAGTGCAGTGCAGTGCACACTGCGGCACCACGGGGTCGCGTCCGCCCTCAACGCAGGAATCTGCAACCTCGGGGAAGCCGGGGGAAGGCAAAATGAGCCTAAAAAGCTGCTTTCTGCCCTCCGCGCCACGGGTTCGGTGAAGCAGCTGGTATCATCTCAAGGGGAACCATTGCAACAGGTTAAGGGGTGCAAGCAGCTTCCAAAAGCCGAAGAGCAAATTGGATTAACACACGGGAAGCACAAGGAAAGATCAAACTATCCCAACTCAGTCAACAGCCCACAGGTACCCAGCGATCACGAGAGCAGGGCTCTGGCCAGAACAAGGAGCAGGGCAGCGAGCGCGTACAGAAACCTTCCTCGTAGGAGCTCCCCATCTGGCGCCTGGAGACCTGGCTGGACCCAGGACCATTACACAGGCACTGAATAATAAGTGGAAAGGAAAAAAAGCAGCTTCTAGGAAACTCCTTCCTTCTTCTGAAGCAGATCATTCCAACACTCTGAAGCAGATAATTCAACACTGCGCAGAGCTGGAACCATCCCGAGCATCACGGCACAAGGCGGGCGAGCTGCTGCATCTGCGTTCCCAAGCCCATCTGCTTCCACTTTGCTTCTTCCTTGGCTTCTCAGCTCACCACTGATTTTCTTCAGGCCACTGGAGGCGACGGCTCCGGTGCCAGCCACGTCCGAGGAGGCCCCGAGATCCCCATTCCCAGAGCAGAGCGCCCGGCACGGCGCCGCGGGGCTCCACGGACAGGATCCCCGGGCAGAGAAGCGTTAGCCATAAAGAGGGATTCCGAGAAAAGGGCCGTTTTTGCCGGACGCCATTTCTGCCGAATTGATTTGGGAAAAGCCCTCGGGAAAGGGAGCAGCCCAGGTCTCACCGCACAGCTCCTGCGGCTCCAACACATGGACAAGCGTCCTCCAAAGAGCCCCTAGGGTTGAGACACCCAAAGGCTGAAGTCGGCTCCCCTGCAGAACAGCTGCTGTTGGACATCTGGATTTAAGACCCTTACAAAAGCCACGCAGATGAGAAATCCCAGCAAGCCAAGAGAAAGATATTCAAAGAAAAGCACGTTGTGTTTTTATGGAGCAGGGAATTTAATTTCCACGTCGTCCTGATGAACTAAACTTACCTCTGCATCATCACATAATGCAGATGGATGTTAATACAACCACGTCTTCCTTTCCCAAGAGCTGTGTTTGCTCTTAGGAAATAAAAATGAATGTACTATATTACATACTAGATTACACCAAGTACAATGCTATGTACGCTATTTTATATACGTGCTGCCCTTGTTACGGATGCTCCACAGCACTTCATGCTAGATGCTCTGTTCTGTTTCAGTTTCTTTTAGCATAAACCAGGGAAGAAACCACAGGCACCTTCCTAGGGAGAACCAGAAAATTTCAAGAGTGTTATTAAAAAAAAAAAAAAAAGGAGATATTCCAGCTGC